GTTTAGCAAGTGGAGTCGATAGTATCTCTTTAATATTGCCCCTTTTGGTTGGCTTCCCTGGTTGTGTCTCGAACTATTGGAAATTCCTCAGGTCTTCTGCTTACAGACGAGATCTCAGCTGGCTGATGGATGCCGGGTGCCTCGAGAGATAAGAGGACCGCAGGCGAAGCTACTGCATCAGTTATCTGGTATGGCACGAGGCGACTGCAAGTGGCGATGCGCCAAGTATCAACGACCGTGGAAGGTCGAAAACAGCTGATGGTGAAGTGCCGGGTACTGCCGATTTAGAGTGAGTTACACTCTAGTGTTTTGAAATCGTCACACGGTCGCGCTTATGATCCACAGTGAGCAAATGCGGCATCCATCTTGCCAATAGCTTTTTCATACCCAATTGTTCGTGCAAAATTGAAATCACTGTGCCATGTGATATGCCTGTGGCCTCAACAAGTTCACGCACTTTCACTCATCGATCGGTCAAAACAATATCGTGGACTTTATCGATGATTTCTGGCGTATCAGCCTCAATTGGACGTCCCGAACGAGGTGCATCACATGTGGATGTACGACCACGTTTAAATTCATTCACCCAATTGTATACAGTCGCAAATGCTGATACAGATGTGCTATGAACATTATCCAACTCGGCTTTGATTTCTTTCGGCGTTAAACCTTTCATATGTAGATGTTTGATCATTGTACGAAACTCGTTTTTTTCCATTTTGCAAAAACTACAAAAGTTGTTCACTTTAATCGTCTATAGAAATGAAACCACGCGATGAATTCCGCTCAAAATTTGACAGTAATCAGCTGAAAGATGCTACTTGTCAAAAAGTAATATGACATGACACTGCGAGTGCCCTCTGACAGATTTTCTAAGAACTTATTGACTTGCCCTCGTAGTACACTCGTATAATTCGCAGCGTGTAATTCACAACTCGTACATTACAGATTTTACGTCGAACTTAGCTTTGTCTCCAACGACTAGTTTCGTTAAACGAATTCAACCGACTCCGAATATTTTCAATTTCGAAACGTGATCGATGCGGTCCGATCTCGCGATGAACAATTGTTATCATGGTGGAAAAAGATAAAATGTAATAATGCGCATAATACGCATTGCGTATGTTCTTCTTACGTCATGACCAGTCAATCAAATGCTGGAATTTCAAATGCTAGCCAATCAAATGCTAGAATTTCAAATGCTAGCCAATCAAATGCTAGCATTCTTTTGGTTGAACAAATTGACTACTGCGCATTCTTGACCTTGTCTTCTTCCACCATGATCGTTATCGTATCACGATCGAACGCAATATCTCGATTTAACACGGAAATGCGATCCTAGGTATTCATAGTCAGATCTTAAATTTAAGACTGTTTTAAGTTCATGATACCTTGAAGTATCATAAACCAATTAGAGAGCCGCATTAGCGTCTTAAGACATTACTTAAGGTCTTGAAATAAGAACCGACTATGAATACCGATCCTACACTCCTGTTAATTTCGAACTTCTTACCGACATGGTTCTATTCGGCAAATGCCGGTATACGTAGCGGTTTGAGTTAATGTTCCAACAAGTACGCAGGATTCAACAAGTACATGTAGTCATACGATCCATTGAAACTATCGACGTATCTTATTGTAAATATATCTATACTTTAATGTAAACAATCTGTATGGTTGGGCAATGTGTCATTGCCATACAACGATTTCGAAGGGTCGATGACGTGGAGGGTTCCGATAGCGCACATCACGCTGATTAGCCAATTTAAAATAAAATATTTTCATTAGTAAAGCAGTGAAAAGTTATTAAGCACCAGACGATCTGAGTGGATGTGTTATCGCACGTGCGCTAACAGAATCCGCCCTACAACGTAGACAATTTTGATGTTACGACTATCGTGACAGATTCACCGACAGAGTACATTCTCGAGGTGAACTTGAGTATCCGCAACATCTCCATGACACACACTCCGATCTACCGCTTTGCTCAACGCACGAGAAATCATCTGGTATGCGAGAAGACAAGCTCCTCGCGACATTGTATAATATAACAAGTGTTACGTCATACACTATTGCAATCTACAGGATCTACAGCAATGTATTCGTGACTGTCTCCGTATCATAAAGAACCATTGTATATTACAATTCGTGCCATCTCCATGGCTTCGCGAGTACATCGAACTCAATATGAATTTCAGAACTAACGGGAACGAGTTCAAGAAAAATTTATATAAATTAACGAACAACGCGGGTTTCGGCAAAACCATGGAGTACGTGCACAATCACATTGATATGCGACTCGTGACATATTGGGACGGGAGATATGACACGGGGGCAATGATCGCAAAACCAAATTTCCACAATCGAAGCGTCTTTTCCGAAAATCTGATCGTAATAGAAATGCGTAAACTCGAGGTGAAATTCAATAAACCAATCCACGTGGGTATGTGTAGCCTCAACATATCCAAGACGTAGTCATTTATATATATTTTACCACGTCATCATATATTCATATTGCCGTCGTATCGTGAGAAATGTGAAGTCATGTATACTGACCTGGATACATAAAAGTGAAAGCAGGATCAGGAAAGAGGAAACAGGGCGGACGTGTACCTATTCTGGCCTTGTGACCGAAAGCTCCAAATCGCATTCGCGTCCACAAAAATATAATTTATTTTAAACCACAAAAATTACTAACAGGACGTCAAACAACTAATCATGACCTTGGAGGACCAAGAAGTGGCTCAAGAGATCCAGATCGAAGAGGAGGAAGAGAAGAAGACACCTACCGCCACATAATTTTAAAATAATCCACAAAATGTACAAAAATATATTTTTTTAATTTTTACCACAATATTTAATTTATTATTCCACAAATAGGTAGAGACCGTATAAATAAGTATTATTTCAGGTACAGAAAGTTACTGATATTAGCCGCAAAAATTAGGTCGGTAAGGTAGAAAATAAATTTATCGATTTCGGATATTTAGCTTATAAGTCGGCAAATTATATTTCTTTAGTATTTACAGGCAACTAGAAGCCATATAAGATAAAATTTAAGTTTAAATAACATTATTATTTTTAGCCAATAAGGTAAGCCGGTAATATAGGAAACCGCCCAATAAGGAATGAATGTGTGTGAGAAGGAGGGTAATACCCCATGACGAAGAGGGAAATACCTCTTGATGAAATAACCAATCGGCGAGCCGTCCAATAGCGTATTAGGCGCAAGAGGCGGGGAACCAATAAGAACGGAGAAGAAAGCGAAAGTCAACCGCAGAGGAAAGGGTAGAGAGGATGAAGAAGAGAGTTCGATCCCAGCAACGAAGACGTAAAATAAAGCACGGTTAATAAAACGTTGTAAAGCGTCGCGAAAAACGCGATCGATCGTAATTTCGAATCGGATCGGTTAAATTAACGGCCGTGACGATTGTTAAACGTAACTTAGGGGCGATAAACGCGAATATAAGCGTAATAAGAGCGGCGAATAAAGGGTGCGTAGTAACCGACGCCATTACCCGTTGAACAAGCGCGACACGCGTAAATGGGTACGCTCAAGCCCTGTTTGAGTTCAAATTCGATAATTCGATTTATTGTAAGCGTGAGTGAGACCGAGTAAGTGAAGTAATTAAGTTTGTTCAATAAATACTTTATTTTTATATATCCACTCGAGTCAGTTAATCCGCTCACCCATCCACCGCGTAAACGCGAGTGAAAATTAAGAATATTAAACAAAGACATAATCCGATTAAGACATTCAAAAATATAAACGACGAAGTCTGATGCGAGGTGCAGCCCGTACCCACAAACAGCCCGAGGATAAGCTAAATTCAGAACGAGGCAGGGACGACACAAAGGCTACCTGTTATACAGAAGGAAGGGCACTACAAATCCGAGGAACCAAGGCGCACGGCAGCCCAATAATTCCGATCTCAACCTTGCTTGTTGCGAAGGTCAAACAAGCTGGCGACCAAATTACTAAAAGCGGACACACAAAGTAAGGTAAAATACTACAAGGTAAAGAGATTCCGTATTTCCGTGTTTCCGCGCTCATGTAATATCAGCCTAATCGGTGAAACGCGAAACCATAACAGCGGATTACTTCTGATTGGTTACGCGTTTCCGCATTTCCGCGTTCATGTAATAGCACTCTTAGGGTGCCGTCCCATGGCACAGATTTTCCGCGTAACGCGTATCGCGTAACCAATCGGGGACCAGTACGCGTTTTTCGAGTTGTTACGCCTTTACTACGCGCTTTTTGTTACGTGGAATTTCCATATGCGGACACGAGAATACACGAGACCATAATAACAGAGAAGATTTTGTATTCATCATGGATAAATCAGTAAGCGAATTATAATAATTAGTTTTATTTAATATATTCCATTATCAAGTAGGTTTAAATGCAATATTAAAATTTAATTTATGATCTTAGGCTATGTGTGTTCGAAAACTTCCTCTCCGAGGAAAATTTTACTCGAAATATATAGTACACGTAACATATACTATAACATATAAAGTAAAATCTTTCTCGGAGAAAAAGTTTTGGAACGTAGCCTTAATAATAAAGTATTCATAAATTAATTTATTAGAAATTATTTTTCCAAGTTATAAGGTTATATTAGGTTAAGTGATAGATTAATGTATAATAATGAGTGTTTTCCAGCAAAGACATTGTGTAACACAGTGAATCGTTTCATCCTTGTTGTTTAACGTAGGCGAACAAGGATGTAATGATTCACTGTGTTACACTGTCTGACTGTGTCCTTGGTGGAAAGCACCCAGTGGTAGTAACTTTTAAAGTATACATTTTTTTCTTTAGATTTTAAATTTTTTCTAAATATTTTAAATAAAACAATGTTTTATGTAGAGGAATATTATATTGCTTATTATTAATTTTAAATGATTTATTAATATTTCCAGCAAATTCGGTGTGGATATTGTGGATGGCTAATGGCATCTTATTGTGAAAATATATTAGAACATCATTGTTTTAAAGACTACAATGAAACTATACATTTTCTACACATTGATGAGAATTTTGTAACTACTATTGGTATATAAATATATTTATAATATGTGACAATCTTCTTGAGGCTTCCATGGGTGCTTTCTGTATAAGAGTTAGCGTTTCGCGGATTTTCTCTGTGTCGAGAATATGGTCGCATCATGTAATTTTTCAAAGCAAAAGCTTCATCTGCCACAATCACATATGGCAAAATGGGACCATTGGTTCCAACTACTACTGGTAATGGTATTTGTAGAGAATTTTCTTCCAGTGAAGTATATAATTTGCTATTTCGAAACACTCCACCATCACTCTGCCGTCCTTCCGCTCCAATATCTATGAAAGTAAACCGATATTTTGCATCACAAACAGCAAGCAAATTGATACTGTGTTGACCCTTGTAGTTATAAAATGAAGATCCACTATTTGGAGGAGCCTATACAAAATTATAAGAAAAAATTAATCTTTTAATATATTATATAATAAAATTAATTTAACTTTAGAAATTCACATGTATACCTGGATGACATGTTTTCCGTCTATTGCTCCTATACAGTTCGGAAAATCCCAATTTTCTTCAAATTCGTTTGCTATTTTTTTCCACAAATCTTTGCTGGGTTGTTCAAAAACTGTATCCTTTAATGCAATCCAAATTGCTTCGCACGTTTCGGACACAATTTTTGAAATTGTATTATGTGCTACTCGAAATGCATAGGAAAGAGATCTCATGCTATCTCCTGAAGCCAAGTAACGTAGACATATTTCTAATCGTATATTTGGAGGTATTGCTTCTCGAACACATTCTTGTTTTGTAATGTATGGATCGACAGCAGTAAATAATTTGTCAAAAACCTCTGGAGTCATACGAAAGTAATTGATGAATTTCTCATCATTATAAAAATGTAACTCTCTTATGAGATTATTACTCGCTCCATGTCGTTTTCTGTTATCGGTTGAAAAAATCGGATGAACCCAATATTTTCGTTTTCGCAATTTATTTTTATTTTTACGTTTATTTAATAAATATAGAGCTCTCACCAGTTTCTTTAATTTAATCTCTGTTGCTGTACGATCAAGTGTTTCTGATATTTTTTTGCGGAAAGCAATAATGAATAGTGCTAATACATCAGAATTCATTTTTTAGAAATTTCACTGAGAAAATTTCAACTAGAGAAACTGCAATTTTTTCAGAAATTGTACAATGAACGTGCGTGTGCTACGCAAAACTCATTTCTATATGTCCCATGAAGCGTATTACAAACTCACGTAACCAATAAGCTGCCATCTTTGGTATTTCTGTTGGAATAATCTAAAAGAATATAAAGATATGATTGGTTATTGCGTACGCCACCTAACTTTCTTGCGTACTATGGGACATACGGAATTAAATTTCACGTAACAAAAAGCGCGTAGTAAAGGCGTAACAACTCGAAAAACGCGTACTGGTCCCCGATTGGTTACGCGATACGCGTTACGCGGAAAATCTGTGCCATGGGACGGCACCCTAAGTGTTGAATCTGCTGAACGCCGACATTTTATCAGGGGGGGGAAAAAAAAAAAAAAAAAAATTTCACTGAGAAGTCTCATCATACTGCGCCTTTTATCCTATTCAATGTGGTTTTTTAAATACGAGAAATTAAACTTTGCTGTGTCCCTCTAGTGGTGATGTTGTGCACTGCTTAAAAATTGAACATTTAGAAGAATGTTTGCTAAACGAAGGAAAAACGCTTGTGTTACGGAGTTGAGAAAAACGTTTTTTGTGCGTCTTTAAGCCGTTTGCGTAAACGCCTTAGAAAACGTTTACTGGGATTCACTAATTCGCCACGTTGGAACAGAGTTTGCTGAACGGAAGGAAAATGCTTGTCTTACGGTATTGAGAAAAGCATTTGATAAATGTTTGAAAAGTCTTACAGTGAACTCTCTGCAGGAAGGTGCATCAACGTTTACTGAGCGTCCTCTGAAAAGCGTTGCTTTAACATTATAGAACTTTCATGAAACGATATATACTGTATTTTATAAGCGCTCTGAAAGTGTTTAAACCCAGTGGTGTTTTATAAGCGTTCTTATAAAGTTTGAAAGCGTAAAAATTCTCAAAAAATCGTCATTAAACGGTTGTCAACGTTTTGTATAAAGTTTCTTATTTTTGTCAGGGTGTTCGGTCGCAGATTTGACAGAAGCAAGCATGATATACCACGACTTCTCTCTTGTTCGTCTCTGTTGTTTCAAAAAGCAAATGATACAACTGGCGGTGCTATTTCCCAACGATCGATTTTGAGATACTTTGGTAACACGTTTGGTTACGTAGACCATATAAAAGGAAGCACCATAATTTCAAATATAATCAAAGTAAGTTATTTTTCAAACCATTATAATCGAAATTCACGAATTATAATCAAATTTTAATTGATAAATGTGCATTTATAAATTATTGCATTCGAATGGTGTGTCCGGTGAATACACCTAATATTCAAATAAATGAATAAAAAATGATTGAAAATACTGTTTCGAATACACTTCTTTTTTATTCGTCGAGATACGAATAAATACTTTTTCATTCCATTTGAATCAATTTTTTAAATATTGTTATAAATATCAGACACGTTGTTGTCTTGAAAGCGTGCTCTTAGTGGTTCTTATTTCTAACGCACAATAGGTAGATCGACTGTTTTTGTAATGAGGACTCTTTATTTTATAAACGACACAAATCACGCACAAGAAGAAGGCGGAACTCGGAAGGCGAAAAAACAAAAAAGTGAAGCACGAAAAGCATGCGCATTGTAACCGGAATTTTCAGCGCCTCTCGATTCATCCGGTCCGGCTACACGCTAAAATCTCCTACCCTAACTCTATCTACCTTTATACGTCTGTAGGTCATAACCACATGCATCACATGCACTCCAACAAATATGATTACAAATATTTTCGTTTTGTATTCACTTTTACTCTGTATTATCTGCACATAGCTTGTAAGTCTATAAGAGAAAACAGAAATCTATAAAAACGATGTGGCTACAATTACACCGCGCTTAATCCGCGATCTATATGATGGGCATTCTTGTTTAAACTATCGGTTAAACAAAGACATTTTTATTGGGAATAAATAATATATCTCGAAATTTAATGTCCTCAGACCTTGAACGACGCATCCAAGATATCTTATAAAATATTTATAACATTACTGTAACCGGAATTATATCGGAATATGTATGGCGCTCTATCAAATAAATATTTATAAATAAAAAATGTATTGCTTTTTAAAACATTTTTAAAAACTACTAAGTTTCCTTCATAAAATCTGAATACTTCAAAGATAAAAATAAATAAAATTCATTTTTTTTTTACTTAAAGTCATCAAAGTGCCGGTTATAATTAAGGGATAACAATTGCTTATTGCAGCTCTCTTTTTCAGTTTATATTTTGTTTGAATGAATATGAATACTCGTTAAATATTCATAGTTTTTTTGTGAATAAATATTTTTGAAAACCCAAAATTTTGAATGAATATATGATTACATTTTTTTTTATGTGAAAATTTTAAATAATTACAATTTGGAGCTTAATTACAAATTTTTGTATTCATCGGGCACATGCGAACGTATCACTGTGCATAAGTAAATTTTCAAAATAAGTTTTTTTTCATAATAATATTTTTTTTTCATAATAAGTTTTCATAAGTTTTCAAAATTTCAAGTTTAAACAGTGTAGCGATTTATTTATTGATTTGCTTGTTCGAATATCTCAGTTAAAAAATACGATGGTATTTTATTCCGTAGAAATATCTGGAGTATCAAAAAACCACTATCAGCGAGAATGAAGATCGAGGATTCATCGATAGATATCTAAAGAAATTGAACGGAGACGATAAGTTAGATAATTTCACGGAGGAACAATTAATCATTTTGTTAATTGATATAATTCCCGCTTTCTTTGGACTATCATCTATGATTATTCATATTATTAAGTATCTCATGCACCATCCTAGAATTATGGAGAAAGTACAGAATGAAATAGATAATGTTGGGACCGGACGACTAGCCACATGAGAAGATAGGAAAAAGTGAGTTTATTATTATTGTACACTTAAGGGAGAAAGAACAATTTCTTTTCAATTATATACATAAATAATAAATGAGTTTAGGCTCTGATGAATAATGTCAGTAAAAATTGATAAAAGTCTTTAAGAGCCAACACAGGTTAATGCACCTCCGTGAAGCTGGCACCTCATCTTTAAAATTTTGAAAAAATAAGCAGAGTTATGGTCGCCCCTCCAAAGAGTTCTAGAGTTCTATAACAAATTTAAGAAGAGAGAGAGAGAGAGTTTCATTGATTAAAGGAGTGAAAACAACGTTTAAAGTAACGGGGGGGGGGGCCAACTTCACAATTCTGCAAATTTGAAGGGCTATAACTTCTAAACAGTTTATTTTAGCACGTTGATCTACAGAGAATAATCGATAGAACTCTTTGGGGCTATCAGAACTCCCGAGAAAATAACGGATTTCCAAAATTTTTTCAAAAAAATTAAAAAAAAATCTTTTTTAAAATTCGACATTCTGACACGAGTTCTGGACCGATGTGAACCTGGCGCCCAACTTTATCAAAAATAAAAATTAATACCGTAGCGCGTTTGTACTTTGTTTGTACCTGTTTGTACCGATCATTATTTCGTTTGTATACCTCAAACAGTTAAACAAAAAATGAAAAATAAAAAATGGCCAGCGCGCAACTTTAAGATTTTTTAATTTCATTTATGCCATTCGAAAGAGAATCGTTTGTACCCGTTTGTACTTCTTTTATTTTCGTTTGTACCTCAAAGCCTTCGGAAATACAGCATTTTTCAATTTTTGCGCAAGCCCTATATAGCTAACTTTGCCAATTTTCAAGATATCGAAATGGAACCAACGGCATTCGAAAGAGAATCGTTTGTATCCGTCTGTACCTCCCTTACTTTCGTTTGTAACTCGAAGGGTTTGGAAATACAGCGCTTTTCAATTAAATTGTAGGTCCCATATGTCAGAAGATATATGTATAATGTATCTATACTTTGTTCAGCGAGAGAATGACCTTGCATAGGATGAAAACTCGTCCATTTCGCGCAGATCTCCGCCCACAGAACCTCCTCTCCTAAGTGTTGTACAGCTTTCTAATTCCTTGTACAAGCTGCCGGATGACTAGATCATTAGATCATTGACATATATGTATTTATTCCGTTATATTTATTTATTCCGTTATTTATTCTGAAAATAACACAGTTGAACAGTTTGTTTCAGTGTGTTTTTCTAACAGTTCACGAACTCTTACGCAGTACGACAGAAGAAGGATTGAGTACCGAAATGTCAGCTCCACTGTCTCCTTTGAAGAAACACAAACGCGGCCAAGTAAATAACTGATGAATAAAAAAATATTAACAATTTATAACATATCGAAGATTGATGTAGTTTTAAGATTAAGAAATTGTAAAAATAACGAAATATCAAAAGCCAAATATAACAAGAATTATTTTACACTTCTATTTAACACATTGGACAGCTAGATGTCTCAGTCTATCGCATATTTTACAAATTTCAAGATTACTATCGAGATTATATTTTTAAGAGAAAACTAAAAAATAAAACTGCAATAAATAATTTATTGCACGATATACATGTCATGTTTTGCCTGTGAGGTTATATCAATATCGCGAGACAGCCGCGTATCCTTTTTAGTATAAGTTCACTGCGAAAAATTATTGAAATTTAATAAATTATTTGATAGTCATGAATAAATACATATCTTTTTCATTTATTTCCAGCGTTCATTGAAACGTCGAGATTATTTTATCTGCTCATTTTTCAAACCCCGCGTCCGAGCATATCTTATTTACATATGTACGTATACGGTACTGAATATATCCCCACTCTGTCCGCTACGCCGCACAGTGGATCGAAACGTCAAAATCAGTGGACATGACATTTTTCTCATAACAGCAATCTGACATTCATATGTTTCATGCATTTTAGGACGTAAATAGACATAAATAAATAATATTAAACGACATTTTCCAAAAATTTGAATTTCTAAAATCTATTCTTTACAATAACAGAATTGCAATAATTAATTTCATTTTTCAAAACTTTATTATTCCCCTCTCTCTCTCTCTCTTTGGTGATAATAGCTGATACCACGTGAAAGTAGGGAATGAATCAGCCTTGGGCAAGTTTTTTTTTTATAG